GAAGATATTACCACAGACCCAGACCTAGATTAAGAATTATCTTAACATGAAGAGAGAACAAGGTGTTGTCTGGCAGGCAGCACTGTGATGAGAGAGAAGCTAGAGAGAGAGAGAGAGAGAGTGTACAATTTTGAGTTGATAATACTCAGAGCAGTTGACTTGTTTGAAGAAATGACCGAGAGAAAGGATTTGTAAGTAGTCAACAAAAGCATGTAAATAAATGTCATGTGAAGTGTGGAAAGGAGAAACCAAAGGCACTCCTCACCAGCTGGAGCTTTTGTCTGAATCTTTTTTTGGTGGGGCCCAGCCGACTATGTTTCTTTATCATTATTCATTACACATTACATCAATCGGCTTTGAGTCAATGTAAACAACAAAAGTCTTGCGCATGATTTGATAATACCATGGAATATTAGCTTATGTATCTCTAAGAGCATTCTTAGTAGTTTAAAATGGGGTCCACATGCATCAATTTCAATTTATTCACTACCTCAAAGATGGAATCCACTTTTAATTAATGGTATATGTACATATTAATGTTCCCTAAACAATTGTCCACATATATTAAATTAAAATAAAATATTCCTTAACTAAATATAATACATTTAATATTACCCTCGTGTTCAACTTTTTTGCAATATTTTCATAATTTGGCCAGTCCTTAAATAAAATATTCCTTAATTTGTTTGCACAAATTGGAAACTATTAGGGCATGTAAGGGGTTACGTGTCCTCATAAATTGTAAACTATTGGTACTCTTTTCTTTATTTTGGCCAATTTGTTTTTAATGAGAACCCCTATACTTGTTCAAAATATTTATGAATTAACTTTCTTTTTTGACAAAAAAGAAAAAATTCAAGATTGAAAGTAAAGCGTGAATCTATGGTAAATTAAGAGAATTTATAATTTAAATGTAAACTGAAAAGAGGAGTTATAACATGAATGTACAACTAGTATTTGTAGGTTCCTTCGACCCTACACCCGGTGAAAAACACCGGGTGGGTCTTCTGCTGGCACGTTTAAAATCCCTAAAGGTAAACCCTAGCGGGGAATCTATTATAAAATACAAAAAAAAGACACGTGGCAGCAGAAGACCCACCTGGTGTTTTTCACCGGGTGTAGAGTCGAACAAATCGTATTTGTAATAGGGGCGGAAAAATATTGCAAACAGAAAGGATCAGTTATAACATGAATATACGGAAAAATATTGCAAACAGAAAGGATCAGTTATAACATGAATATACAACTAATATTTAATTTGTATAACATCATTCAAGTTCGCCTATAGATGAATGATGGTAAAATACCAAGTACCATCCATAATGCACCGAAAATTGCGGTACAATAACGATTCTCAGTACAATAACGATATAAAAAATATCAATACCACAAAATACGGTTGATACACACTACTAAGTCAAAGTTTTGGCAATTGTATCAAATACACACCTAATTTATAGCATTGTGAAGTTAAAAATTAGGGGTAGTCAATATAAGTTACAAACCATAAATTGAATGTTCTAAGCCCATATTTAAAAATTATGGGAAAAAACCCCAAACTAAACTATAATCAATACAAGTCACAAACCATAAATTGAATGTTCTAAGCCCATATTTAAAAATAAAAAAAAATGGACACACCCCCCTTGAGAATATGATAAACTCATTACCCTTATTCTCTTCTATTCTTTATGGTTTTGTTTTTATCTTCTCATTTTTAATAGGTTTTATGTCATATTTATCTCCCCTCTCTCTCATGCTCCTTTGGTGCTTTCTCTCTGGTGTTTTGATTTCTTGGTTGTTTCAATATGACTCCCACATCACTTTGTTTTTCCAACGACAGCCTTGATTTGGTGGATATAACCTCTCGTTTTGATCTCTCTGTTGCTTTGAAGGAAAAGATGAGCTCTAATATTTTGTTCAACGGCGGTGATGCTACTCCTCAACGGTGGCGGCCGCTACTTTTCAATGGCGGCGTTGAGCAATTCATTTGCTCCATCCGTCAAAGGTACAGATGTACCTAGTGTTTTCTTGGTCCTTACAAGATTTTCACTTGGTTTGGACCTGGTTTGCTACTATTTTCGACATGTTACAAGTCATTGGCCACGTTCTTAGGCTGCTCCGACTGTCTGGAGGCGCGCTTTAGGGTTCTAAATGACCGATCTAGGTTTTCCATAAGGGGTGGTGGTTGTGGTTGTTTGTAGTTGACTATAGTTGTCTATGGTTGACTATAGTTGTCTGGCGGGGCACGTTAAGGTTCTAGGGTGAATATAGATGCTACACCTGGTTGTTTACACTGGGTGAATTTGAACCATAGATATACACATAATCACACACACTTATGTGTATTGTGCTTTATGGGTAATTATTTAATCAAATCTACGATTCAAATCCACCACGTATAAATATTCAGATGTAACATCTAACTCCACGCCAAACCTATACCCATTGCCACTCCTAGGAACCACAGGAAATTCTATACAACAGCCAGTTATTAACATCGGGTGATTGTTAACCGTAGATCTACATATAATCTCACAAACACTCATGTGTATGTGTCTTTAATAGATGGTTATTTAACCTCATGTACGGTTAATAAATATATATACCCAATGTTGCATATAACTTCCCCTGAACCACGGTGGAAGAAGGATAAATAGAAAGTTATTTATTTGTTTTTTACGGATGCAATGACGCCAGTATATTGTTCAATACAAAGCTGAAATGAAACACCAAGAATTTTGATAGAGTTGCATAGGGGTGGATTCGGTACGGTTGCCAAACATTTGGCTCAATACCGTGTACCTACCGTACATTGTGGTATTGAAAAATTTCATACCGTTACCGTACCAAAATGTTCGGTATACCAATGTTTGGTATACCGTTATTTTCGGTACGTTACAATCGGTACGTGGTACTCTACCGTACGTGGTGATTGTATCAAAGATTAAAGAACAAATGAGCTAACAAATATGTAAATCTCAATTGAAAATAGTTCTAGTGTATCTAATTTTCGAAGAAGGCCCGAGTGTATAATCATGAATAATTAACATAACTTGCTTCAATGAAACAAGAATATAAACCCAAATAAATTTGGTTTAATGGAACAACTAAGTATATCTTAAGTACTTGATTGTACGTAATAATTAGTACATACAATAAATATTTTACTAATACTAAACATACATGTATATGCATGTAAAAAAGAGATAGTTCATACATGAAATATAATAAAATTAGTTGGCAATAGGTAACATACATGACAATGTAACATAATATATATGTCCAATTATAAAATTCAACTTGGTCGGAAAAAAAAAATACACTGCCACTAACTTCAGGTAAAAATAATTGTTGCAATTCATAAGCTTCCAAGTAAAAAATATAATTACAAAAAATAATATCGAGGTAAATATCTTAATCGAATTATAAAATATAAATTGCGGTACGGTACGGTATTACCGTGGTATTAGAAATACAATACCACTACCGTACCATATTGTAATGGTACGGTACTAGTACCGTACCGTAAACACTGGTAACCGTTCTTTCGGTAATTTTTCGGTATTTCTTGGTAGGTATACCGTAGTACATGGTAATTGGCATTTTTTTTCCAGCCCTAGAGTTGCACCATGTTTTATATTTACAAAGAAAACATCTTATTTCATGATACCTTAAAAAGTCAAACCTAAATTAAAATCAACAACAACCAAAACATAAGTTCAAATGTCACAATATTAATAATTTACAAAATGAAATTCCAACAAACTTTGCTTAATTCATAATTGTCAAATTACTTGTCCTCTTTTCAATAATCAGCGCAGAGTCCCGACAGCCTTCTTGTAAGTATACCTCTTCGCCGCCACAACATAAGCTCCCAAGTTGATCAAACTCAAAACAGCCAAAAGCCAGAAGAAATAATGGAGTTTTCCATGGTTCAAGTTATCGGCTATCCACCCGGGTTTACCGTTCCTAGTACTAACTTCCGTCACAATAGTCACCAAAAAAGCGCTCAAGTAATTCCCGAGCGCAGTCGTTGTCAGCGACAAAGCCGCGCACAAACTCCTCATCGAATCCGGCGCCTGCTCGTAAAAAAACTCAATCTGCCCTATGTACATAAACACCTCCGCGCAGCCAATAATGAAGTACTGCGGAACCTGCCAGAACACGGATATCGGCGCCTCTTTCACGTCGTAGCTATCGTGCCTTTTCACTATATTGAGCCTAACTATCTCCAATACTGCGGCGGACACCATCGCGAAGATCGATATGAAGAGGCCTATTCCCATGCGCTGGAGCTGAGTGAGCCCGTTTTTGTGGCCGGTGAATTTTCTGGTGATCGGGATTATGAGTTGGTCGTAGATCGGTACCCAGACAATGACGCTGAGTGTGTCGAAAATGCTGAGGGATGCTTCGGGGATTTTGAAGGTGGTGTTGCCTAATCAGGGTGTTCATGTACTCTGCTTGGAGTAGGAATAAGTTGCCCATTTGGCCGTAGACCGCGC